CCGAGGGTCTTAGCGCATTAATTGGTCGCGGACCGAGTCGGGTATGTCCCCTATGAATAAGTATAGTTAATATAATATTAGAGTAGATAGAGTAACGGCGAGGCGAGATGAGACTCGCGTCTACTTCGACATAGGGATACATAGATATATACTATTCGCAGCATTCCTAGCGCCTCTCCTAGCAAACCGAGGCGTCTATTTCTTCTTATATCCCGAGTCGAGGCTCTATTAGCTAATATCATCTCTAAGCTTAGAGTATAGTATAGCCTTACTAGAGAGCTCTACGCTACGGTACCGGCAAAAGACTAGAGTTAGTAATATCTCTTTCTTCTACCGCAGGGGGATATAATATATAAATCATAGTAGCTTCGACTTTAATATAATAGCCGTATTTATTAAACTCGGGGCATTAAAGGCCTAATTATATAGGGTGATAGCGAGGATTATAGAAATTACGTAGAAGAGAAGCTTCTAAGCGGGGGTAAAATAAAAGATAATACTATAAGAATTATTAATAAGCTAAATGCTAGGGATAGTCGCTATTTAGGATAAAAAGGATGATAGATATATAGCTTAGGTCTATTATCGGCGCCCTTATGATAGATAAACTTAATAGCTATAGCCGGCATGCATCGTCCGGTGACTAAGTATTAAATAATCATTATTATAATATCCTCGTAGCAGAGGGCCTTAGGACGCCTGCGTACTACGGGCTCCTAGGAGAGAAGGCCACGGAGCAGCTCGGAACATTGGTCCGCCGGAGCGTCCTACTCTTCGCCGCTGCCAGAGGAAGATGACTAGACGGCCTTCTAGCTAAAGAGCTCTTAGATAGAACTATCCTCCGGCTTCCGCCGCTCGCTATCTATAAGCTCGGCCAGCCATACGCCTATATAGCATAGGAGCTAGTAGTAGCTAGCTAGATTAATGCGATGCCATTCGCCGGGGAAGATGCTCGTATCGTATGCGATGTTAAATATTAGGATAATACGTAAGTTATCGACGTTAAGTACCGGCTTACTATCGATATTTAGCGCGCAGTAGCCAAAAAGGGGGATAAGTATACCTCGATAATATTACTATGTTTTAATAGAGCTTATACTAGGCGGGACTAATATGCTAGTTAGGGCTCCTTAACATACCTTATATACCTCCTTAGTATTATTCCTATCTATATATTAGCTATTTACCGTAGTATATAGCTATTAGAACTAACGAATATACTTATAGCCGCTACCCCATAATATAATCTTATAGTATTCGCAGATATAGAGTAGAAAGTCTTATATAGTTCCGCGGTCGAGGTTCTTAATTATCGCTTTCTAATCGCTAACCTCTATATCGGCGTAGTACCTATGCGGGTAGAATTAGCAAATAAAGATCTTACAGAGGGAGTCATAGGGATAAATAGTCTCATATACCGCTTCTACTTCTTAAAGATACCGCTAATATTAATCTCTATTTAGTTAGAGTATTTAGGCTTAATAAAGAGTATATTGCCTAGCTATGCCCGGTAAGTAGTATATTCTTTAATAAAGAGTATAGGTTACTGCCTCGCGGCTTATTTCTATGCTTACCGGGCATAGAAGCATTCAAGGAAAGATATATAGTTTTCGTGGAGACTACCTCTAGTAGTAGTCGCAATGGTGGCCATAGAGCTAATAGGCATTTAGCGAGGATAAAGGATATAGGCAGGCTAGCGATCGATGATAGCTATGAGAGAAAGAGAGCGTGAGGGTTAAAGAATAAGGTAAATAATCGGGAGACTAAGGTCATCTAGAGAAGACTACTATTGCTATTTATGGTCAAAGTAAGCCATAATAGCTCGCGTAGGCTGACCCTAAGCGGCAAGCGATAGATTTATCCTGAGTAATAAGAAACGCAAAGGGCATAGAGGGTACTAAAATTAGATGCGCGCTCGCTGATAAAGGGGGGGGACCGAAATAGGGCCCCTATCTATTGGCACGTGCGGGGGATCTAGGCGCGGGGACTAGCGCAGGTATATAGTACCTGCCCCGCGACCTCTTATCGCTAAACTCTACGCACTGCTTATGCCTCCTAAAACGGCGACGCTTTCCGCCCGATTTAGCGGCTCCAGTAGCGCTTTCTCGGTTTATAGAGTAAAAAGTATATCTTTATATAATATATCTCTTATTATATAATTAAGTTACTTTAATAAGCTATTACCTAGGTTTTTATTCTTAGGTCTATATTATATATTAAAATTAAAAGCAAAAAGCTTATAAATCTATTTTATTAATTTTCTTTTTAATTTTTTTTAACATTATTTTTATAATACCTATAAGGGCCTAATAATTAATAAAAATTAAGAATTTCTCTAAGAGGCCTTAAAGGTAATAGCTTTAATATTCTAGGCTATTAATAATAACTAAGAGCTTTTATTATCTTATAGCTTATTGTTATTTTATATATTAAAGCTTTTATAATTAATAGTTAATAAATTATTATTAAGAGTTTATTAATTAAGTTAAAATACCTAAGATTACTTTAATAAAAGTATTTATTGTAATTTTAATTAATCTTAATAAGTCTTAATATTAAAGAATTATTACTTTAATTAGGAAATTAGCTATTATATATAAGCTTTTATTAATACTTTAAAAAATTGTTATTAAGCTTAAAAATAAGACCTTAAGAGGTAAAGTTTTAGCTTTAATTTAGCTTTTAAGGAATTACTTATAATTAAAGTTATTATTCTATAATAATATATCTTATATTTTATTATAAAATAACTTATAAAAGGCGAAACAATACTTCTCTTAATACCTTTAGAGAAGCTTAAAGTATTAATTAAAGAGTTATAAAGCTAAGATTAATACTATAGAGAGCTAAAAGAGAAAATATTAAAGATTGCTAATAAGTATAAGGGATATATTATTAATAAATCTAAATTATTATAATTTAAAAACTAATTAATTATCTTTAAATAAAAGGCCTTAAGGTTAAAGATATTTTATTAATATTATAATAATCCTAAGGCGAGATATATAAGCTTATAAAAGATATTAAACTTAATAAAAAAGAAATTCTATTAGCTAAGTATAATAAATAATATCTATAAATATATAAAAAATTATTATTATTTAATTTTATTTTACTTAAAAAGGGGATTAAAATATCTTAATTAAAATCTTAGTAAGTTTAATAATAAAGACTCTATACTTAAAGCCTAAGGTCTTAATAGGCTTAAATTAATAAGGTTTATCTATATAATTATTAATACCTTTAATAATAGCTTTATTTATAATAAATAGATTATATCTTGATTACCTAAAAAGGTTAATATTCTCTTCTTATAGTAGCTCTCCCCTTTATTATTAACCTTTTAATTATCCTTATAATTCTTAATTACTTAAAGAGATATAAATCGCTTTTATTATCCTCGTAAGAGGATATTTAATTATAATTAATAATTATAATTAATTAACTAATTAATTAATGATTAGCTAATTAATTAATAATATAAAAGAAAATTATAATAGCTTTTTATAGAGACCTCTAATTAAGTAATTAGATTAGCGCGGCTAATACCTATTAATAGGCCTTCTTATATAAGCAAAATAATTTTACTAAAGAGGTCTATAAGTGTTATAAAAATATAAATAATATTTATAATAGGCTTTAAGAGGTAATATTATATAAAGCTATTTAAAGTATTATAATAAATATATAACTAATTAACCTAAAGGAATAAGTAAAAGTTATAGTCTTTAGCTATAAGCTTTTTCTTTTATTTAGCCTTTTTTTATTTAATTATAATATAAATAATTAATTTTATTTTATTAAATAAGAGTTTTTTTTATTAAATACCTTTAAATAAAAGCTAGAAAAATATAAGTAATTAACCTAAAGGGAAATTACATTCTTAAATAGCTTAAAAGATAATTATATATACCTATATAAGATATAACTTATAATATTTATAATAAATATTAAGACTTTTTATAATATTAAATAAAAAAATCAAAAAAATCATATTATAATTAGCTAAGATTTAGCTATATAATAATATTAGGAAATAGAGATTATTAAGGTTATTAATATTATAGGTTTAATACCTCGGATGGATTAGTTCTTAGAGTCGGCGGCGGAGTTTTATAAACCTAAAAAGTATTAGCGCTAAGCAGGGTTGTGATTTAGTCACTTTAGTCTTAGTCAAGGGTCTGATTAATTCACTTTAGTTTAGTCAGGCCCTTGATTAATTCACCTTAAATTAGTCTTACTCAGACTAAGACTAAGACTAAGACTTTTTAGTCAGACTAAAAAGTCAAGCTTTAGTCAGCTAATAAAATAGGGCAAAATCTAGTTTTAATTATAATTAGCTTAGCTTACTAATTAAAATTATATAAAATGACTTATTAGTAGATAATTAATGCCTTAATATAATATTAGCTTTTATCTTTAAAATATCTTATTCCTTATTAGTAAGTTTAATTAAAAAGACTATTTAAATCTATTTAGAGGAATTAGGCCTTTTATTATATTTTAATACTAAAAGTTACTTATTTTATTTATGAATAGCTAGAAAAAAATACTACGTAATAAGGGTAAGTATATATTAAAGATATACTTAGCCTCTAATAGTAAAAAAAGGACTTATACTTATAGCTATTTTTCTTAGTAAGCTATTATTTATTTAAAATTCTTTTATCTTAGAATCCTTAATTGCGGATTTTAAGATTATTAGATTTAAAATAAAAAATTACTCTATAGAAAAAATAGGTATATATATAAGGAAAGGAATATAATAAGAAGGAATATATATAAAATAAGAATAAGTCTTAGAGTATAGGGTAGCAATTTTATTACCTAAGAAAAACCTAAATATAGCTATCTTCGTCATCAGAAAGGTCCTCTTCAATCTCAATAGCCTCCTCATCACTAATTTCAGCCCTTTCCTTGCCCTTTGGCTCCTTCCAAGCCTCTTCACTTTCACTATCATCATCCATTAGCCCAATTAGGCTATCTTCATCCCAAATTTCCCAGCTTTTTAGTAAAATAAGCTGCCTAGTTAGGCTAGAGGAAATTCTATTTCTATTTCTAGTAATAATATTACTAGAAATAGAGAAAATCCTCTCTATAGAAGCAGAAGTAGCCGGAATAGCTAAATAACGCCTAGCTAATATACTTAAAATAGGAAACCTATTAGAATTCGATTTCCACCAAATTAAGGGGTTTTCCTATTAGTAAAAATTAGTATAAATATATAAAAAGGGAAAAAAAGAGTAAAAAAGGAATAAATAAGGGTTAGGGTTAGACTTTCTTCCCTTTTTACCCTATTTTCGTTGAAATAGGTATTATATTCCTCAAATTCATTAATATCATCAGCATATAACTCATCATCTGAGTCAACTTCCTCTAAAAGGCCGCTATTAGGGCTTCGATAAGTAAATTCGCTATTTAACTCATCAATCGAGGGATTAGGCTCTTAAAAGCCTTTTTCTGCCTTAACCCTATAATTAAATTAAGGTTAGTATATTTAATTAATTAATTAATTAATTAAAATAGGAAAAAAAAATATACCTTTCGTATTCCCTTTTAAATAAATCTTTTATATTATTATCCATATTAGGATAATCATATAAATTACCTAAAGGCTTAAAATGGGCTATTTTAACCCTAGGGTCTAATAGGGTTGCAAGGATATAGGCCCTATATAAAAATAATTAGTATATTCCCTATTTATTAAGGAAAAATAAGGGAAAAAGATTACTTATAAGTAAAAAGAGAGGTATAGTCTAATTTTCTAGGAAAATATTTCCTTAGCTTTTCTAGACCCTTAGAAATAGCTTGGAAATAGCTATAATAATATTCCTATTAATTAATTAGTAAAAGGTAATTAAATAAGGGTTATTTTTACTTACTTCTCCTTCTATCTCAGACCTTTCTAAAAAGTCCTCCTTTAGCTTTTCAAGGTCCTTATATAGGTTATATATATATAATAGCCCTCGGGACATAGATATATAAACCTGACCTTGAAGCTTAATAGAGGCTTTTAAAAAGACCTTAAAAATAGATTCTAGGTCTTTTAAAGCAGCCCAATCTGGCTTATTAAAAGCAATAGCCTTTAATTCATCAGTAGAATCTACTTTAATAGTATAATTAATAACCTCCTTAAAAATAAGGGTTATATAAATCATATTATAAGTAGAATTCCACCTAGTTGCATTATCTATAATTAAATTAATATAAATTATAAGTAAAAAAGGGTTAATATTACCTAATGGAATAGATTGCATATTAAAGTTAGAAGGTAACTTATTCTTCTCTTTTTCTCGTTTAATACCTTCGAGAAATACCTTTTTTATATTACTATTATATTTAATACTAGTAATAATTCGCCGTAATCGAGAAATAAGAGCTATAAAAAATTAGTAATTAATTAAAGATAACCCTAATATAACTTATTATTAAACCCTAGCGCAATAAAGTTATTATCTTCTAAATCCCCTCTTATAGATAAATTATCTATATAAGAGGATGAAGAAGAAAAATCGGTATTAAGGTATTCCTTTAAAATATCTTGCGTAATGATATTAAAGATATAACTAATATAGCGAATATTATGATTGAATTCCTTTTTAAAGCCATTTTAGGAAATAGCTTTAAAGGTATTTAAAAAGTAATTATTATTCGCCATAGTATCCCGGGTTATACTAAAGAAGAATTATAAGCATTAGGGTTTTTATTAAATATTAAGTAGATTTTTCTATTATTAGATAAATAGCTTTGTATTTAAATAATAACAGTCACTCTTAGTAGATATTAAAAAAACCACGCTTACCTAAAAATATTACATAAAGTAATAGCCGGAAAATCCTTTAAGGCATCTTCGAATTAGTTATATATATATAACCCCATATAAGCCTCTTTTAACTTATTAAAACCTATTTATTATTAGTAATTATGTAAGGCTATATTGGGGTTATTTTACTTACTAATAACCTTATATTCGTATATAAAATCAGAAGAAATATAGGCTAAAATAATACCTAGGAAGGAATTCTACCTATTAGAAAACCAAATATTAAAAGTAAGGGAAAAAGTCCTAAGCTTTGAATATTATCTTCTAATTTCGAATTAAGCCAGAATAAAGCAATTTTAAAGGTATCCTCTAAAAAGCTTTTAAAATTCCACCTATTAATAATAGGCGAATTACTATATATTATTAATTAGCTTATTATTAATTAAAATTTAAAAAGGAAGGGAAAAATACTTATTATAATAATATAATAGCTCTCGGAATGATTTACTATTACTAACCCGAGA